ATAACAAGCAAGACTTGTAAATCACAATAAACACAAAACATATTTACATATTATAACACAAAATCACAAATACGATGAAAATCTACAGTAATCAACATATTTACAAATATAAACAGGTATATAAGTAGTTTTATAAAAACGAAAATATAAAGAGTGACTATTTAATTTGCCTGTTCCTGCATCTTGAAGAAACGAAAAACAAGAAAAAACAGGAACAAGGTTGTATTAATTCAAATATGCCCTTAAATAAGGGAGATTACTTCAAGTATTAAATCTAGATAATCTAGATTTTTTGCTATAATCAATTGACATAAAAATTAAAATTAATCAACATGTTAACACTGCAATAATGACGACCTCAGCTTTAGAGCATAATAAATAAACATAGCTAAACATTTTATTGTCTGTTCTTTCTGGATGACATTAATACATGAAATTTGTTCAAAGTTGAATTATTATAATATTTTTTGTTAATATAATTTTCTCTTAGATGACTATAAGTTGAACAAACTAAAATAAAATGAAATTCATTTTTCAATCTGGTCTTCACAAAAGAAACAAAATCTTTGATTTCTATCAATACCTACGTGTCTCCCTTTTTCAATCATTAAAGGGTGTGATGATGACCGAAGACTTACTAAAGCATTCCTAAATTTCTTGATGTCAACAATATCAAGGTAATTTTCATACTCAAACACTGATTTATAATTAATATAAGAAGTAAGTTTAGCATTTGAATGACATTCAGCAGACCAATCTTGTAGATACTGATCTTTAAGCCTTAAATCGAGCTGTTTTTAAAAATAACTTTATATTTGAAACATGCTGCTGTTCCCAAAAATATAACCAAAACCATTTCTATATAAAAACAATTTAACATTAGAAGCCCAATTTCTATATCCAATACTGTCATAATACAACAACATATGGTAACATTTTTTGACATATCTATAATCTTGCATAGAAAGAACTCTTAGCCAAAATTAATACAGCGTATACTACTTAAAATATGCATTGGGTATCTTCCACAGTCACCAACAATTACAGCATTACAAGAACGTAGGGGTGCATTCATATATCGTTTACATGCATACAACTGTATTTTTTCAATATTATACATATATTCAAGACCCCAAATTTCTGATCCATACAAAAGAATGGGGACAATTTTAGCATCAAAAAACTTAAAAAATACATTTTTTTGACATAGGCATTAAATGATTCAATGAAGATAATAAGGAGACTAAAACTCTCTTAGCTTTATTAGCATTGTTCTCAGCCATCTTTTGCATCGATAGCTTACTACTAAAATATATAATCCAACATAGGAGAATCCATTAACACATTGTAATTGGTTGTTATTATATGTCCATTTTTTCATGACGAGATAAGTAGCCACCTTTTCTAAAGACCAAAATTTTAGACTTTTCTATGTTAACAGACAATTTCCAATCATTACAATATTTTGACAAAATATTTAATTGTTTCTGTAACCCATTACAGTATCAGCAGTCAAAGCAACATCATCAGCAAATAGTAAAAGTAAAATTTGTACAGTATCTGGTGTCAGCTGTATTCCAGCAATACCACTGGATGCTATAGCATCATATAGTTCATTTATAATAAGAGAAAAAAGCATCGGGCTTAAATTACAGCCCTGACGTAACCCAAGAGGACACTCAAAAATTTCACTATGTTTAGAATCCATTCTGACACAAGCTTTGACAGAATTATAGATACCTTTAATTGCCCTTAAAAGACATTACCTTTAATGCCCTGATGATGTAAAACTAAATACAACTTTGATCTGTCAATGCTGTCAAAGGCTTTTTTAAAATCAATAAAAGCCACATACAACTTTCTACGTTTTTGACATAAAACTTATTTGCAATAGAATAGAGTATAAAACCATTATCTATAGTAGAATACCCAGAACGAAATCCTGCTTGTGCCTCTGTTAATCTGTCATATGCACTTGTAAAAAATGTTAATCGTTTGTTTAAAAACACTAATATATATTTTACTACAAATTTCTAACAAAGCTATTCCCTATAATTATCAGGGTTATTAGTTGGCCCTTTTTTATGGATAGGAAAACAAGTACTGAAAGAGACCACTTTTCAGGAAACAAACCACTTAAAAATATCCTATTAAACAGTTTACGTAGATATGGTAATAATAAATCAATTGTTTGAATAAATGTTCAGGTATTAAATCTCCTGCTGTTGATTTATTTCGTTTCAGCTCAGTTATAGTATTTTTAATCTCTTCATCTGTAATTTCACCATTAAACAATATGTTTTCTACTTCATTTTCTACTCCATTGTAACAGTTATTGTATAAAACATCATTTTCACTATAGCTAATTGATTCATCATTTACAGCATTACTTTCATATACGGTATTTGTATCAGATTGAAAAACTGATTTGAAATGCTCATACCATTGATTTAAAGATATTTTAGGCCTTGTTTGTATTGTTTGTTTTGAAAGTTTAATTTTCTTCCAGAATTGCTTTTGGTTGTCGACAGAAGCCATAATTGAATGAAGGGTACATCCATCAAAATTTGATTTCTTTACCTTACACAACTTATTAAAATTCCTTTTACAATCAATATATTGATTCAAATCACTGGGACTTTTGCTTTTTCTGAACTTTCTTAAACATTTGAGTTTCTCTCTTCTACTTTGCTTACAGTCATGATCAAACCATTTACATTTATATCTTGTGTTTCTTATTATTATTTTCCTTTTGAATTCAGAACAATTAGCCAGTATTAGTTGCTCAAAAACATTAATAACATCATCTATATTGTTAGATGTGTCACTAATCATTTCATCAAAGGAGTCAAACTCACCATTTATGATACTTGCTTCAAGATTGCCTTTGTAAATTTGTTCATCACATAAACTATCAAATCTATAGCATACAGAACCTTCATTATCATTAATTACATTATCATGATTAGGTTTAACTTGATTTGTTTTCAATTTTAAAGAACATAACACAGGCATGTGTTTGCAAATAGGCATGTCATCAACCACAAATTTACAAATATACATAAACACATTTTTACAAGAAATAAAATAGTCTATCACACTACACCCAGATGAGTCGATATATGTAAATTCACCTTTGCCTGCATCTTGATCAAGTCTCCCATTTACTATAGATACACCATATGTTTTACAGAATTCAAGTAGTTCTCGTCCTCCTTTATTAACACACTTATCACAAGAGGATCTTATTGTTGTTATAGTTTCATTTAAAATATCATTATACTCCCTAAACATTGGAACATTGTTTTCAGAAAGAACAAAATCATCTAAGTCTGAAGTCCGTGCATTAAAATCTCCACATATGAACAATTCAGATGAGATAAGATAATCATTGCTAATAAGTTCGTTTTCAAGACATTGAAAGCCTGTCTCTAGCTCATTGTCGTAAAAAGGAGAACCAGTTGGTGGCATGTAAACACAGGCATACAAAACATTTGATTCAAATTCAAATAATTCTTTGTCAATATTTAGCATAACACCAAATTTAAAGCTATTACAAACTTGTTTAAAGCTATTACAAACATGTCAGCATGGAAAATTGTTTAACTGATTCCGGATAGGAATCACGGCTCCAATTTAAATACTTATCTATAAATCAAATTTATCTAAAACTTAATCTTATAAATTTTAAGTTGACACAAAGAATTTAAGTAAGGAAGAAACAGAACTGCGCAGTATCAACATTTCCGAAGTGTATATTGGTCAGCGTTGTATATTGGTACCGGTGTCGGCGTTGTGGAAAAGTTGACACGTGTAACGTTTCAAAAATAAATACATGGTTGAATATATTTTCTATAGATTCTACTGGAACAAAAACTTTTCTGGAACATCGCTTAAACAACACCCAAATATCCAAGCCATTACGGCATGCTATGATTATAGTCTTTTATTACACGGATAAATGGTACATGTACACGCAGACAAACGAAAAATGGGCGCTCGGCGTAACGAGTTTTACTTTTCTGAAAACTGTTGAGGAATGAAAAATTAACGCAAGAATTTACCATTTGAATTCAAAAAATCTTTCATAGCGTAATGCACGTTTGGAAAACAAAACTTTCTAGGCAAGGAGTTGCTGATTTTAATACGCAGCAAGTTGTAACTAACATAATTATTCTAACATAGATAATACTACAGAGTGGTGACAATATAAGTTTTAATGAAATACAGTATTTGTTTATCCTTTAATAAACATGTTTATAAAAAAGAGGTCTAAATTAAAAGTTTCTCCGCATCATTTTAAAGATTTCAATCAATTAGAAAAAAAAGGTTAAAAATTATTTCCTGGCGATTTATTTTAATGTATCAATAAATATAAATAATAATAACAAGATTAAAGAATAATAAGCACTGTTTAACAGTTTTTCATATTTTTTGCCACGCAAAATTCACGCAAGGTACCGAACAATATCGATTTTTAGCGTATATGTTACATTACTGTAGCAACATCACAATATGGCGGCGTTGGTACACAAACGAGACGGCGAAATGAAACTAACGTGGTTTACTTTCTTCTAAGTTGATAGTCTAGCACTTTTTGTGCTGTTGATTCCTTAAAATTGTATTGTTGAATAGATTCTTAGTTTAAATTGTCTGCATTTTTACATTAACATCGAAATCCACGTTTCACCACAGAAAGGTCTCCTTTTGGTTTTGACGTTAAAGCGAGATTCTGCCCCAGAACGAAAATATCTCAGAATCAAGCTTTGGCACGTCAATATATTCAACATATTCGGCCGAGATTTAGACGTGCCCATGGCCCTTTGCGGACCTTTTAATTTTGTAGTGCCAATGTCGCAAAATTGCGGCCTTGGTAAATTCCGACTAGATACCTACATGTAACTTCCTATTAGATTAGATCTCCAATTTTAGTTTCATTAAAATCTTTATGTAGATCTACAAAATTATGATAATGAATGAAATAAACAAAAATTTCTCACCTTAAACTTATCAAAAGAAAATGGAGTAACTCTATCATATGCACATTCATGGCAAATTTGACGTTTTTCTTTAAAACTTTGCCACATTATTTACAAGCAGAATGTCATTTCCTGTTGCTCTTCATTTTGGAGAATTTCAGGGATAAGTTCATAACATTGTTTATTTTGGGAACAATTTAAATCAGTTTTCAAGATATTTACTTTAAAATTTAGAATTATTTATCGGGAAAATTATATGTTATAATTTATTGGGAGATATTACGCAAAAATTTGGGAGATAAACGGACGCTTTATTATTTGTAATATATAAATAATTACTCGTCCATAACCGGAAGCAATATGGTTGACAATGTGGTGAAATTTTTGCAAATATTCAGAAATACAATATTTTAACTTATTCTAATGACTTGAGATGTTGCTGTTTTGTCCGACGTGTGCCAATGTTTTGGTTGTTGAAGAAGGGACACAGTGCTATAGATTTGCTTGCCAGACATGCCCTTATGTTCAAAATGTTTCAAGAAAAATATCGAACAGAAAATATCCAAAACTGAAAGAAGTTGACGACGTGCTTGGTGGAGCCGCTGCCTGGGAAAATGTTGATTCTACTGAAGAGACATGTCCAAAATGTTCACATAATAGAGCTTTCTTTATGCAAATACAGACTAGATCGGCTGACGAGCCTATGACAACATTTTACAAATGTTGTAATATGCAGTGTTCACATCAATGGAGAGACTAAATCGTTACCATGGAAACTGTGTTAATAAATACAGACATTCACTGGTTATAATATTCTGTGTTTAAGAGAAGGTAACAACGAATCCGAGGAATTCAACAATTCAATCTTCATTTGTAAAGAGGAGAAAACTTGTGCCACAAGTGTGACTGTAACAGTATCAAATCATTTTACGTACATAGTTGCAATGTTTCATAGAAACATGTCAGAATACATTATTATTACTTCTCGGTTCCTGTTTCTTTGTTGAATTAATTACTGCATTTTCTTATTTTCTATAACACTTGTGTTGAAAAATTAAGTAATTGATAAGTTATAAATTATTAAGTATCAGTGAAACGATTATTGTATCTTTTTGTTCTTTTGAATAATGTCTTTAACTAGATAATAACTTTCATTAAAAAACAAAAAATCAAATGATCTGTTGTTATCAATATTCAAAAAAACTATGTTAATAATAAAATTTTATCTATCCAAAATACAGGCTTATGTGCAAAATCTTTCATGCAAAGTGCTAGATTTTTTTAAAAGACAAATTATATATATACAATTACAAAACTGTACATTAACTGATGATAAATTTTCAATTTAAGTGATTATGATATATTTCATGATGGCAAAAAGAGTTATTGAACTAGCACTCTGTCTGTAATGTCTAAATTTAAAAATAAGTCAGACTCGGATTTTACAAATAAATAATATATATCGGTTATTGCATTATTGCCATGTTCTCTTTGCAATGGTGTATTGCAAGATATTTCTATTATTGCAATAGTTCTAACATTCAATTTGTAATTATCCAAAGTCACTATTTTAAAATAATACTTTTAAATGACAACATGTTGGAAGATTAAAGAATCATTGAATGATTAATAAATAATGAATTTTTGTAACATATATAAGTAATGCTGTGACAAGGCTTGAGGCAGGATTATTCAATATGTACAGTAGCTTTGATTTATTCTTGCAATAAAGCTAATATTTAGAACATAGTTTTGTTGGTGTCTTGTAACTGTCTTTCACTTTACAATCCATAATTTTTATAAATATCAAGGTATGGTGTCGATAAAAATTGCAGAATAACATCCTTTGGTAGTCAAAGATTATGTTCCTGAGAGATGATGCTATTGAGAGGTTATAATTATTGCAATGTATTATTTTGGGAAGATATGAAACTGTTGCTGTAAAGAGGTTATTGCTTGTTATGCATACAATTCAGGGCATTTTCTCCCTATCACCCAAGGCTAAAATAAGGCCCCTTTCCCAATCCAAAAATAGCCTCTTTTTTCTCAGTTTGTAAAAGAGAAAATCTCAACAACAGCGAAAAAGAACAAACTGTTTCAACTTCTTAAGAATTTGAACTATTTTGATAACTATGTTTCTTTAAAGAGGTGACAGATTATATGGTTATACACTTGTTAAAAAGTTATGTTACAGGTAGTTTTCTAGCTCAGGGTGAGCTTTTAGGATCGTTGAATGTCCATCGTCTGTCGTCCGTCAACACTTGTTCGTTAACACTCTAGCCTCAATCATCATCAAACTTGGTCAGGATGCTTATCTTGTTGATAGCTCGGATGAGTTTGAACATGGGTCATCTCATATGAAAAACTAGGTCACCAGAGCTAAAATAAGAAAAACCTTGTTAACACTTCTCGGTAACATTTTTGCCACAATCATCATCAAATTTTGTCAGGATGCTTATCTTGTTGATAGCTTGAATAAGTTCGAACATGGGTCATCTCAGATCTATGAAAAACTAGGTCACATGAGCTAAAAATAGAAAAACCTTGTTAATACTCTAGTGGTCACATTTTTGCCTTAATCATCATCAAACTTGGTCAGGATGCTTGCCTAGGTGATAGCTTGGAAGAGTTTCAACATGGGTCATCTTGGATGAAAAACTAGGTCACCAGAGCTAAAAATAGAAAAACCTTGTTAACACTCTAGCGGTCACATTTTTGCCTCAATCATCATCAAACTCGGTCAGGATGCTTATCTAGTTGAAAGCTTGAATGATTTCTAACGTGGATCATTTCGGATGAAAAACTAGGTCACCGTAGCTAAAAATAGAAAAACCTTGTTAACACTCTAGCGGTCACATTTTTGACTCAATTGTCATCAAACTTGGTCAGGATGCTTGTCTAGGTAATTGCTCGGATTAATTTGAACATGGGTCATCTCGGATGAAAAACTAGGTCACAGGAGCTAAAAATAGAAAAATCTTGTTAACACTCTAGTGGCTACTGTTTTGATCCAAATATCCTGTAAATTGGTCTGAAAGTTTGTTTTGATGATTTCTAGGTCAAGTTCGAATATGGGTCACCTGGGGTCAAAAACTAGGTCACACTGCCCAAATATGGAAAAACCTTGTTAACATTCTAGTGGTCACATTTTTAACTCAATTATCATCAAACTTTTCAGGATGCTTGTCTAGCTCATTGCTCAGATGAGTTCGAACGTGGGTCATCTCAGATGAAAAAGTAGGTCACCGGAGCTAAAAATAGAAAAATCTTTTTAACACTCGTGTGGCTACTGTTTTGATCCAAATATCCTGTAAATTGGTCTGAAAGTTTGTTTTGATGATTTCTAGGTCAAGTTCGAACATGGGTCATCTCAGATGAAAATCTAGGTCACACCGCCCAAATATGGAAAAACCTTGTTAATCCTCTAGTGGTCTCATTTTCGACTCAATTATCATCAAATCTGGTCAGGATGCTTCTCTAGGTAATTGCTCGGATGAGTTTGGACATTGGTCATCTCGCATGAAAAACTAGGTCACCAGAGCTAAAAAAAGAAAAATCTTGTCAATCACTCTAGTGGCTACTGTTTTAATCCAAGTATCCTGGAAATTGGTCTGAAAGTTTGTTTTGATGATTTCTAGGTGAAGTTCGAATATGGGTCACCTGGGTAAAAAACTAGGTCACACTGCTCAAATATGGATAATCCTAGTTAACACTGTAGTGGTCACATTTTTAACTCAATTATCATGAAACTTGGTCAGAATGCTTGTCTAGGTAATTTTTTGGATGTTTTCGATGGGCCATCATGACCCTCTTGTTAAAATTTCCCAAAATGTCAAATAAATTTTCCCAATTTATGTCAGAGGCCTTTTTACACCTTTTAGCCAAATAAGTTGCATTTGCTTAAAGCAATTTAAGCCCAACCGGAAAATTTATCATACAAATCATTAGAAACATATATAAAATGACTACTATGTTGCCCAAATTTACACAGTGATTAATTTCTACATAAAATGTAGCTACATGGATCCGTTCAACTCATTTTGTATAGAATGGCTGGTGAAAAAGAAACATTTGAAGGAAGAAAATACTTTATTGTCTATTTATCTCATGATAATGTATCATTGAAAACAAAATATTCTTTTTTATGTATGCATATAATATACATCAAAATAATAATACACACAAAAACAATATAAATATAAGTTCTATTTAAAAGATACAACATTGAAATGGACTGTAATATATATATTATTGCACATATTAATTGGTACATGAATGGTTTTAATTATTGAGTACATATTTAGCAAGTGCTATCAGTGCCTGTAATGTCTCTTTTCCACTTGGTATAATTTGGTCATCTGGAAGTAAGAAGCCATATTTCCCCGTATCTCTAAGCTCAACACCGTAGGCAAATTTTGCTCCTAGTTTCCCATATACCCAATCTGCACTGCTGCCACTTGCTACGTCTATGAGAAAAAGAGATTAAGCATTAACACTTAAAGGCACACTTATGCCTCAGACACAAATACATTTTTCAATCTTTAGAAGGGTCCAATAGGAATTTTATTATATTAGAATTAAATATTGATTTTAGAGCATGTTTGATGCAAGCTTATCACCTGTAGAAAGCATTGTCGGAACCCATGGTGCACATTCCGTAAATATACTACATATTTATGATAAATAGTCTGGGTTACCGAGGATGGAAGAAAGTAGCACTGCATAAAAAATTATTTGTCATGAAAGTTGAAAAATGTAAACAAAGTAGTATTTTCACTACCATAACAAATACTAAGTTACTATAACTGCATTAATTCCAAAAAGCCATAAAAGCTTAACATGGTTATAATAATTGGCTAATCTCATTAAAATCATATCCTATTTGTCACCCTTCTACCTTTCCTTGTGAAGAGTAACAGAGCGAAAAACTGTGATCTAATTTTAATGAGATTGGTTATAAATTGGCCAATGAGTAAGTATTTGGAAATTAAAAAAAAAAAAAAACTTTTCAGAAAGAAAAATAAAAACATTTCTGGGGCATAATGGGCCTTTAACTTACCTGGTTTCTTATTACATTACAGTAAAATCTTGATATCAAAAATGTTCTACAGGAACAGAAAAATACTGCCTTTTTTCAGGTACTCTTTTACAATAAGTAAACTTGCACTGCAATTGACATGTGCTTTATGGTTAGTTTAGGATTGCAGTTACATGGTTTCTAATTCAATTGTTCTGAAAATACATGTAGTTCAGTGGCATGGTTTCTTAATAAAGTTCAGTGGTAAGGTTCAGTTGCAGTAAGCCAGGTTTCTAAATATGTGTATAGGCTTTATGTAGAGGTGGTTTTTAAACATAGGTTTACCTGTCTATGTTTAATAACTTACATATAATATCAGCAATGGTACCATGTTCATATTTTGTACCATAAACCTTTTCCAGTGCATCAACAGCCATAGCAGAACCTTCATCCTGAAAATAAAGGAAGACAAATCTATAATGGAATTGAACTTCCTGAAATAAAGGTTGATAAATATACATTGTAGAATAAAATTTCCTGTAATAAAGGGAGATAAATCTTGAATGAAATTGAAAGGAACATGCAGAACATCACTTCTTATAGTTTATATTTTGATCTCTTTAAATGCTTGCAATGCTTATGCACAGATCCCTTCATGACCCTATTTTTGTATTCAAATTATCAGATTAGTGGATTACAATAAAATTTTAATCACAATGTATTTGTTAACAAAAGAGAACATGTCATTATTTGGTGGTTAAATATATTGTGATGAAATAAGATAAGATCTGACAAACTGTCAAACCCATGCCCCCTGCCTACCCTTTGCCCCCACACGCTCCCCCCCCGACAAACAATTTTATCCAGTCAATTTTCCCACTAAAATACATGTATTTCAAAAAGTCATATTTTTATCCATTGTATTTGAAATCATACATGCAGATGTAGTTTTAAATTAAATTGTCACTGTTTCAGACTATAAAATCGTAATTTTAAATTAGATGTGTATTGTCAGAATATCAAATCATATTGAGAAACAAAACAAAAAAAATATTGCATGGTTACATTACTTACTTGTAGTTTGAAGTCCTCTGGGCGCTTCTTGGTATAACCCCATGGCGACATCCATAGCTGGGAGTAACTATGGAAATCTATGAATCCTTTCAGATTTTCGATTTTACTGAGAAAGTCAGCAACCCCCTTTACTTCAACTTCAGAGAAAGCTTTTGGTCCACAGTATGTGTCTGAACAGGGATCTTTACTTGCACCTTCCTCTGTAATAATACGTTCATAATATAGTACTCGAAGACGGGAGAGACGTATCATATTATACTTGATTTTCAGTAACTCAAACTCGCTTATCTCGAAATTCCGCGTAAGTCGAAAAAATGTTAATGCCCCGTCAATATTCTTTCTTTATCTATAAACATTGTACTTGCATATATGTAAAATATTTAAAATGAAGTACCACAAGTCACGTTTAAATTTGATTTTATCGTACTTTAAACACAGACTGTCATTTCATGGTGTTACAGAAGCTGCGAAACGGTAAAGATTTGGGGTTCAAGTCCCGATCAGGCTACACATTTTTTACCGTATGAAAAGGATATCTTGAATGTACATTTGTATTAACATGTATATGGAATAACCGAAACTTAATTGTTCTGCGAAAAAAATATCTAAAGTAAACCAGCCCAGTAACAACGGAAACAAAACTGCAGAAGAGCAAATGGCTTGACAAGTTTCAAACATAATGTCATGACTTACTACACCACTCCAGATCCCAGTTCCTGTTTGGGTCAACACCACGGCAGATACCTTGCTTTGATCTAGTCTTTCTCCACATGCGTGTCTATAATTGCAATACAAAGAATGAATCATTAGCGCCTATTATCAAAAGAGAAAAAACGTAGGGGATTCCACATTCATAAAATAAAATTAATTTAACTATTCTATAGTCAGCGTTATACAACTTTCGTGTTTTTCAAACTTGTCTGTAACAACTATCTGATATTCATCCTATTTCCGAATTTAATATGTTGTTTACACAATTTTACATAATATATTCGAACAATTCTTTCGTGGATTGAGCTTTTTGGTTTTTATCGTCGTAGCTGTTACCATGTGACCCGAGTCTTGAAAAAGTGAAAACTAAATTTTGATGAAATGTTGTAAGATTTGAACCAGCATGTCAAAAAGCGAGCGTCACCACTTCCACCACCTTACTGGCACTTACCAATAGGACCGCAGACTGCGGAGTATCTTCCCGATCCTGTACGTACTACCTGTATAATTATACCGTTCTTCTGGTCTTTGATAATCTTTTTAAATTATCTTAGATTACGGCTTTTATCATTTACATTGACTGCTAGTTTGACCTGACTGATTTGGCTTTTTTTTTTAAAGCAGACCATGTCAAATTGAGATATATGAAAAAAGGTAATTAATGACCGAAAAACATGATATATAATAACTTGCAAAAATCGCGAGATATTGCAATTTTTTGCGCTCAAATGCTCTTACCCTATCATCAACAAACGTGTACTCGTACCCGTCTGGGTTGGTAACCGGAAGTATATACCAATCAAAACTGTCTACCATTTCTGTTACATCCGTATCAATCTTGTACCTATCAAGCATCTGAAAGATGAAGACAGTGCTAAAATGCACGGATACACTATGTCCTCGGAGACAGTGCTTAACTGACGGACAAACTTTGACCCGACATATATTTTACTTAAACAACATTGAAATTTCAAGAATTTTATGGGGAAGTTACGATTATAATTGCAAACTAATTGACACTAAATATCTTAGTTAATAATCTTATTATCGTGCGAATATAAGAGTAGTTGATTTCCCCTCTCAAAGTCTTATGGATACAAAAAAAATGCCGAGCAACGGAGTCCGGAAGCCAGGAGCTATCTCTTTATGTTTTTTTTTTAATCGAACTATGAACTAATTCAGAACTGGACAAGTTCATTTTACAAGTTTAGTCGTGTAAAGGTTCAACTTAAATTTTATGGTGGTTTATTTGTGTCATGTCGTATTTTTACTTCTCGGGTCACTTTGTCGTACTTTCGTCTGGCACCCCACAAAGCAAAAGGCGAAAATACGACAAAGTATTTTTCACTTTGTGCCCCGCGGAGCGAAAGTATTAAAAATACGACAAATTGGTGACTGTCGTATTACCGTGTGTTCGCCTTGCACACCGCGGAGCGAAAGTGTATACGACAAAATGTTGATTTTGTCGAATTTTTCGTGTTTTTTGTTCGGCGCACCGCGAAGCGAAAATGCGACATGACAGAAATCAGACACCGTAAAAAATTCTGACTCATCACCTTTTAAACATGCTGACTAAGGGTTGTTTAATAAAATCATGTAATATTTTACCTGTCCAGCCATGTAAATAACTGTAGCTGGGGAGATCCACTCACGTGCATGAATACCTCCTTCAATCCAGAACGCTGGTCTGTCCGCATTCTGTGGCTGTGTACTAATCTAAAAATATGATTTGGATACATATTTTTCTGTATTTTTTTCTGTTTTTTCTTGCATTTTTTCGAAAACTACAATTTAAAGACAAATAATTTTTTTTATGCGCTTGTTTTTTAGGTATAAGAAACTGGATGTGCGACAACGTAATATGTCAGTTTTGAAAGTTATGAGAGAAAGCTATTCAAAAACCTTTTGATGAATAACATCTTTGAATTAAAGCAGTACACCTTAAACGGAAATCCTTTACCAGAGGTCAACAATTTTTATTCAATAAAATGAGCGAATAAGTTAAAAAATTTACATATTTTGTGATAACATTCCACATAATGGACAAAACCATTTTCCTTTTTACTTGTACTTACAAACTGGCCTTTTGTAGAGGTGGCCATTTTTTGGAGAATTTTACTGTCTTAATTTATAATAGATCATATACCTTTATTCCAACCATTTCTCTCCCCTCATAAGACTTTGTTACGTTAAACAAGGTGGCCCGGTCTTTGTACATCATTTGTTATATTCTGCATCCAGTCAATAAATCTAACGAAATAAACAAAATGAAAACATAATATTGTTTTCATTATTATTGTGATATATAAGAAAAGATTGTCCTTTACTAAGGGCGCTCACTGAACTATTCATATACAAATGGTAGATATCCAGGCAAGAATGAAAACTTTTTAAAACTTTGCATGAATAGGTTAACAGAAATTATTAAAGCGCACTCTTTTTGATGTGTCAGTTTTCTTAAATTTGAATTTCAGACCCAGTGAGATTCTATAATGTGATTTGACATAAACCGTTCTGATCGCCGTCAAATTCTATGTCACAGACAATAAAAAAACAAGAACGTTTTTCCTTTTCTTTTCATACACGAATGCACGTGCGATAACTGAAAAATTATGTATATTTATACTTACATGTCGTCTAACCTGTGGTATTTTGTGTAGTCAAAATTCGTTGGCTTTGGACTCTCTAATATTTCTGTAGGCCTTTTGTTCATCAATTATTTGCTGAACATTCTCAATCATGATTTTAACGGACATTGTCTTTGTTCCAGCAGATAATTTGTGACGTCATCATATTCAAACGGTGACAGACGAATATCTACGGAATTGTTAACGCTTGATGGGCACGCCATACGTCCAAGTGCTGCAAATAAAAGTCATATGAAAAAAAAAGTTTACTACCATAAACATGTGACTAAATATACTTAAGATATAATAGGTGACAGTACTCCGGGGTGACAAGATTTTGTTAGTCCTTGTCTTTAAAAAGTGGAATGTTTGTCTTAAGCATGCGTAATGCATAATCTGATTCCCCAACCCCACCTCAAAGTATTTTGAAAACAAGGAGATTACTTGACTTAACCTGTTCTTCTGACAGGAGATTCTGTAAAAGTTTCACTTCCGGAACGCTATGCGGAATTACTCTTATCACTTTAATGCCTGAAATAATGTAAATTTCTTAAAGAGAGGATGCGGCTTGTTTTTAACGTGAACGCAATCACTATTTTGATTTAGATTTGCCTGCTTTCGCTCCAGACAAAGATTCGTTTTTAACAACGCTTTATATAGCCTGGTTACAACAGTAAAGTAAATAACAAACCTGTGTTACCAATAAATATTAAAGTCAAGCAAGCCTGTATTATCCGTAAACGCCAATTTTATTTAATCGTACAGGTGATCAAAAAGACGATTATAAGATTTTTCACACTAATTAGAATGATCAATATGCTTTACAGGATGAAAAAAAAATAATATTAGATTTAAAAATTATTTTTGTCTCAACGAAAATAAATATTATATCTAAAATTGAGGAGATTCAAACTTACCCAGCAAACGGCCCGTGCCCCAGCGTTCCATTGAAGCCCAGCAATGGTAACACGAAAACGGCTAACACTTTCAACGTTTCCATTTTTAAATAAGTGAATTAAGTGATCTTATTTTTTAAATTCAGATATTTATACTCGTGTTTGAAAACTATAAAATCATGCGATTAAACCGTGGTGCAATGGTACCAGTTTTTGTATGGTCTAGATTAAACGTAATAATTATATCTGATAATAGGGACATACGATATGTTTAATTTTTCTGTATTGACTTACTTCAAGTGGAATAAGATTAAATGATAGCAAATCTCAACGATTACCCATTATCCAAAAAGTTTGAATGAAAGGGCGGAAAATCACGATTGGAATAGGGTATTATTATAGCTATGGTGGTCAGTTTTCAGTCGGGCATACTTCTGATCGGGAAACAAGGGGATTCCCCTTCAAGGCTTCCCGATAGGCCCGCAAACGTCAAAATCCTTCCCGATCGGGAATTTATTGGCCCTTTTTACGTAGTTCAGGAAAATGGCCGGTGCATTAATAGTTTTTTCAACCCAACTACAATATATGAATATCACATTTAAAGTGCAGAAAAGATATATCTAAAATCCTACCGAGTCATTTTCTTTTAAAATGTCTAAAATTAAAATAATCTGAAAGTGAATTTGAGTGAAGTTTTACGATTTTACTAAGAAGTAGCTGCTTCCCGTTTTGGAAACACTGTTTTCCTGATCAGGCATCTAGCATAATATTCACCATTTAAATGTTTCCTGTTTGGAAAGTTTTATTCGTTTAAGTTAGCGCGTTCTAATTCTGGAATTATTTCGTGTTGATTGAGATTGCTTGGGGACAACACCAACAAATAAAGTTATCTGTGCAACAAATCAAAATGTGAGTCATGGTTTGAATGTTTTGAAAGTCTGGTGTGCCTAGCAGGTTCAGATACAAATGATAGCATCAATAGGTGGTTGTCTTCTCAAATTTTTGTAAAAACGAATATTCAAATATATTCGAATATGTAAAAAACGCGAATATTCTAACATCAATTTTATTATTTCGTTCCCGGCCCTAGTTTATTTTTATTTATGCCCACTTCGAAGAAGAGCGGGTATATTGATTTGCTATGTCCCACAATATGCTGTATGACTATAAATTGTATGTATATAGAGGATAATAATAATAATAATATTAATAATATAATAAAGACTTTATTTAACGAGAGAACTCATGTTGAACAAACATATCAATCTTCCATGGGAGGCCCTCACAAGAACAATATAAATTTAACATATTCAAACTATTAAAATACATAAATGTAAAACATACAGGAGATTATCAATTTGTATACTTCCAATGTGTGATAAAACCTCAAGTATAAGGTTTTAAAATGGTTAACGAAGATGTAGCAGACTTAATATAATCCAGGAAGGCCGTTCCAAATACAAGTTTCCAGAATAAACAAAAGACTTACAGAAATTGTTCAGTATTTGGTCTAGGGGTATAGAGGTTGAAAAATCAGATATGTGTCAAAGAACCGCAAAATGCGAGTATGAAACATCTGACGATAAAATGAAAATTATTCAATAAATAGGAAGGCGCCCTGATTATTCATTATTTTTAAACATCCATAATAGCTTTTTGAAAAACAACCCTCTGTGAAAAGGTCAATCCAGCGGAGTTCAGAAAAAAGTTCAGCAGATGGAGTGTCATAATCTTTGTCTAGAATTAGTCTGCAGCTCTCTTTTGGAACTTAATGAGTTTATCTTCTAGAAAAGACGTACAGTTACCCGTAAATTATGCAACAATAATAAGATGTGGTAAATATTATTGCATTGTAAAAAGCATTTTACGTACAGGTATAGGATATGAATAATTTTATACGTGATAATTTAAATGTAACAATGAGTTACACTTTTTAAGGAACATTATCAAATTTGGCTTTGCCAAGACCCCAAAGGTGTTATAATTGTAATAACCAAATAATTGTTTTTCTTCCAGAAGCTACAAAAATTTGCTCTGTTTTTATATAAAATACAAGGGATTTACTTTCATTGAATATAATTTTGCTTGTGTTTTTTGAGGAAATATTACATGACCTTTAGTTTTGTTAACATTGATAGACATTGCGATTCAAATCACACAATTTGTTTGGCATTTAAAAGATCATTGAGGTAAGAGATTAAACTACTTCTGTTTAGGGATACCATTCAGAGTTGAAAAGGGTGGTGTCATCAGCAAAAATATCAGTTTCTGTTTTTCCATGGACAAAGGCAGGTCATTGAATATAGATTAAAAAACAGTATAGGACCTAGCACTGAGCCTGGAGGAACTCCAGTTAGTTACTGAACTTGACTCGCTGAATATTAAACCGGATATGTAAGTTCGTTGGATTCTGCAATCTAAATAGGAGGAAAACAAGCAACTGATGAAGGGTCTAGGTTATACATTCTAAGCTTTTCAAATAATAACAGAGTGATCCACATAGTCAAAAGTTTAGAGAGATAAGGAAAATTGAACCAACTATTTCATTTTTGTCAATAGCTGTAATCTCAATCATCAATAATTCTAATCATGCTGTTTGACATGAATGATTTGACCTGAATCCAGACTGACGTTGGTAAAGAAGTTGATTTTTTTTCTCAAAGGTATTGCTTTAAATGTGAACTGAACATGACGTTCAAGAATAAGTGATTATCAAGGGAAGTAATGGAAATTGGCCTATTTCTTTTATCACTTTTAGAACCCTTTTTAATGTACAGGAAATGAACTTTTTGCATTTTTTTGAATGATTTAGGAAATGTATTGTTTAGAATATTGTATTGAATATATGGTAAGTATGGGAAGCAATTATAATGAGCCGATAACTTTAGAAACCTTTGCACTGGAGACCATCTGACCCACATGGACTTTGGGTGAAATCAATCGGGATTTTAATTGGTTAAAACCACATATAGAGAGGCTCTATTTTGGTATTTTGAAAGGGGGTATATGCTGAAGTTTAGATGTAAATTTAGTTCAACAAGCTTCAGGATTTTCATAACCAGTCTGATTAATTTGGCATTGATGGGATTGGTGGAGATTTAGCGCAAATTGTTCTGTTGAATAAAAATTTGCAGTGATTAAAAGGGTCAGAAACCGGTTTGATCCCATCACATCATCAATAAAATGGTGTTTTGAACCTTGGAGTTTGTAACCAGATAATTCCTTTAACCAGTCCATAATTTCTTTGGGTTGTGTTTGTTTTGATTGGATGGTAATCAAATTAATAATATTGTCGCTTAGAATCATATATGAGAGACTTAACATGTTTGTTTCCATATGTTGTAATTATATTGTTGTCAAATTAACCTTATGAAACTGGTGTTTTTGTTTTAATAGCATCGAGGATGTTTTTTATAAAAATCCAGTTTTGGGTTTGGGTGACCCTTCTTTACCCCTTTTTTGTCTAGTTTTTGGTGCATGGGTTTTTCAGGACAGACAAAAATTTATCCAGTGAACAAAAATCTAATAGAGTTTATCTTGATTTTCCTACAGATTGCTACTTTCTGGACCAGGGTTGCTTCCGCTGACAATTCGGTTAAAAATCGATTTTCGTCAAAGTTTTTAAGAGACCGGAAGGTTATTGTATGCTTATTGCATGGGACCTTTACACTGATATTTGAAAGTTTTTGGTGTAAGACAAAATGGGAAAAATGGTCACTAATGGA